GACGATGGACCTGGGCGTGGAGGTAAGGTACAATAGCAGAGATTTCCTAGGTTGTGGCGTGATCATGGTGAGTAGAGAAGCACGTGCTCTGTTTACTTCCTCAAAGCTTGATTTTAATCTGGTAACCACTTGAACTTAATATTTCCTTTTAGCAACACTCCAAAGGAAGAAGTGATTTCGGTGGGAGCCGAGATAAATCACCTTAAGACACTTTGCCTAGGAATTTGTTCAAGGCTTTTTGGGAAAAAGGCGGGGGCATTTCCATGATTGACCTTATTTTATCTCTGTCTGCCTCTATCTCCAACTAATGAATCAAGAAGCCGATGAATTTTTCCGCAATAACTTCAAATGCAAACTTGAGAGGATTTATCTTCAGATAGAACTTTTGGTAGCGCTGAAAGACTTTCTCTAAGTCAACGAGATATCTATTGGCCTTGACAAACTTAACCACTAAGTCATCTACATAAAGCTATACTTCACGATGCAACATCTCATAAAACACTAAAGTCATTTTTCGCTGGTAGATTGCCTCTACATTATTCAAACCAAAGGGCAACACTGTATAGAAAACATTTCTAAGGGGTGTCCTCAAAATTGTCTTTTTAGCTTCTTCCTTGGCCATATTGATTAATTGTAACCATTGAATCCATCCATAAAGGAAAACATTTGGTGTCCCACCGTAAAGTGGACAAGGGTATCTAAATGAGGCAGAGGGAACTCATCCTTTAGACGTACTCTATTAAGGTCACAAAAATCAACACGGATTCTTATCTGGCTATTCTTTTTCTTTACGAGTACAATGTTCGCTAGCCATGTTGGGTACTGTATGGGCTCAATGAACTTGGCTTTTTGCAATTTCTCTACTTCTTTGATTTTTGCTTGAAGATCAGGGTGATACTTCCTAATATGTTGCTTCACTGGCTTAGAGTTAGGAAAATGTGTTGAGGTGATGGATGACAAGGGATGGGTCAAGGTTTGGCATCTCATCATACGTCTAAGCGAAGACATATAACACGGGAGGAGGAACCCGATAGTTGGACCAAATTTTTTATTTTCTTTTGCATAACAAAGGCCAACTATCAGTCTCGTCTTAACCACGGGAGCCATCGTGCTGCTGATAAACACAAGTCCACTTTGTTGTAGCGAGTCACTGAGGTTGACCTCACTAAGTACTTCTTGATGTGGGTTAGGACCATTTTGCATGTATTCCAAGGCTGCCTCAGGCACCTTAACCATCCATTTGTCTACAGCGTCCTTACACTTACTAGCCTCGGGGACTGTCTTGCCGCCCCTGCAGACTTTAACGATTTTAGGTGAAGGGTTATAGACAACATGCCGCTCCTCTTATGTTCGTTACTTATGGGTTCCGGCTTCTCATCTTGAATGTCCTCCCACCTCGGTAACTTTATCCTAACGACTTTACCAGTCCTGGGGGATTCTTCAATTGACAGTTCAATGGAAAAGACTACATCAGAGTAATGCATTTCCTTTAATTTGAGCAACTTTTTTGAGGCATTTGTAGTCATAGTTTTCTTAACGAGCCTCACTTTTATGCATTGGTGGTAACTTGATGGAATAACCTCGTTACGATGCATCCAAGCCCTACCTAGTATCATATGATAGTTTGTCTCTACCTCAAGTACATGGAACTTTGTTGCGGTGTAAATCTACCCTGACGTGCCCTTTAGTAACTTTGTTTTCCCCACCAAAACTTGTCACAATGATGGGCTAACAAACTATATGAGATTCTAGAATTCCTACATAATGTTGATTGATGCACCTCCATCAAGGAAGGCGCACTTAAACTCTACATCGTTTACATAAGTCGTGACAAATCACGATTATGTGGGTATGGATACACATGATTGGTGTCATGACCCAAACCCGTCTCTAGAGATTTAAGCCATGACCAGCCAATAATTCTAGATTACTCGGCCTCAAGGACAAAACAAATAATTAATAATAGTAAACGGGGCTCTACGAAAGCAATAATAGAACATATCTATGTCCATCGAGCGGTGCATACATGAAAATTTCACGAGTATTTAAAACTTAGAACTTATGTATCCATTCTTACATACATACGTAGGTACAACACATCCAATTAAACTTCTCACACATATTATCCATTCAAAACAAGCCTTTTCAAATAACAAAACAAAAGAAGGTGAAACAAAAAGTTGACATGGCTTGACTCCTCTTGAGTCCAAGTATGCCTTATCACGGAGGTAGTTCAATAGTGGCTTTACGAAAGGTGGACTCCCAAGGTTTCTTTGGACTTGATGCTCCATTTACTCACTTACATAAATATAGGGGAGGAGGGTGAGCTAAAGCCCATTGAGTAATATAAGTATAAAGAGGTTAAATGAATTATGTCTAGCATACTACAAATCATATCTCATGAGTTTCGAAACAAATCATAATTAAATACTTGTCATATCGGAAGTTCATATATCATAACTTATATATGGTACATCCAATAGAGCAAAGCAAAGGGGCTTAAGGCATAGCAAATGGATCATTAAGGTCAAGAAAGGGACCACATGCGTCTAAACAAAGGGACTATATAGATCAAGCAAAAAGACCACTCGAGTCATCATCAGAGATCTCTGTATTGTTGCCCCCAGACGAGGGCCTTATCAAACAAATAACAAAGGGCCATTATATTGTTTTCCCCAGGCAAAGGCCCTATCAAGCAAATAACAAATGGCCATGGTATTGTTTTCCCTAAGCAAGGGCTTCACTAAAAGATGCCACAATTACCTTTCAAATGAGACAATTGCTCATTCTTATCAAAATTGCATTTGAAATAATATTCTTGTAGTAATTCAAAAATACATTTCAATATACCTTTACAAAGATACTACTCAAAGTGGGCTAGCACAGGTGTTGGACCTCGGATAACCACCTACACAAAACACATAACAAAGATACACATTGAAGAGTACGTTCATAACAAATAGCGTGTCTTAATTCAACTCTCTTACTTGTGTTTCTAACTTATTCCATGACTACGGATGTCTAAATAATGCTTAAAAAAGCCTAAAAAGGTATGAGGAAGAAAATATGTATATGTGAGAGCTTGCCAAAAATTGCTGAAAACAGGGTGTTCACTTGAGCGCACCTTTGGTTGCTCGAGTGGTGTGGCCTAACTACAAAAGTACTGGATGGGGTCAAAGTAGGCTCGAGCCATCACTTGGCTGCTCGAGCCAAGTGCAAATGTCTGGAAAAATACTAGGAGCATGCAAAGTGCACTCGAACCATGGATCTAACGCTCGAGCGAACTAGGCGAATTTTGAGTTTTCCAAAATGCTATTAGAAGTTCAAAAGTGTGCCTTTCATGTTCAAAGCTTGCATGGCTTGGTAGAAATGTGTAGAAACTCTTTATTAAGTATGAAAACATGGAGATTATGAAACCATACTCTCAAATTCTCTTTCAACTCTTCAAAACAAAACTCAAAACTCATGTAATTTTTGGTACTTCTTTCCTTTCGAACATGATTAAATAACATGACAAGTGTAGAAACAAGAAGAATCCCTTAAGTTAATTTGTAGAAGTTCCATGCATCTATAAATTTATATAAAATTAAACTCAACGATGGAGAATTATGCATGCATGTCCAATTTCAACCCAATTCTACAAGAATTGAAGTGATTCTAGCATTTTTGCTCTCAAGTTCATGCAAATGATTCTACAACTTCATAAACTTAACTTCTACATGGATTATTTAAAGAATTATGGGTGATAATCTTACCTAAAGCTTTAATTGAGATGTTGCTAGCTTAACATTTTCAAATCCTCTTCAATCTCTCTATAATCCTTCATCATGCTATCTAAAGTTGGTCTCTCTATCTCTCTAGAACTTAACCACAATTTTGTTAAAGAAGAAAAAAGAATTCAACATGTTTAAGACACACACATAGATATGGAAAGATTAGATTAGGCTAATTAATCTAGCTTAAACTTAGTTAATCATAATCAAGTTTAATCAATTTATTCTAATTATTTTGATTCGAATCAAATTTTAATTAAATTTCTCATATGATCCTTAATATTTCAATTAGCCTATTGCGCTAGTCAATTTTGGTTTCTGAATTCGTTTGGGCGTCTAATTTCAAATTCTAAGTCGGTATTCTAACAGATAATCCATAAGCAAATAGATAGGCACAAATTAAACATATAATCATGCAATCAAGCATACTAAAATAATATAAAAATAATATGTATGTCAGGGTCATCACAATTGGCCTCTGAGAATGTAACGGAACTATGGTCTTCTCGAACCAGTCGAGGTGCTCACTTTTTAGCCTCAGTGCTTTTGGTGTGGTATTGTTCTGAAATATTGATGAGAGCTTTAGTTGTTTCCAACTTGGCATCCTGGCTTAGTTCCAGTTGATCAAAGAAGTTACGGAATTTAGCAGAGTTCTGTAAGGCATGGGCATGTGTATCCTCTACGGCCATTGCTGCTGCAGATTTTGCCTGAGAAAGTTGCCTTGCCATCATCTCGTCCAGCTCATCATAATAAGATGCCATGTGTACTTGATCGTGTACTGGCCCAAGATATCCAACCATGCTTATATTCTTCCCCTTTTCCTTGTGATCAGGATATGGGTCCTTTCTCACTCCACGATGACCCGCATCTTTAAATTTCAACTTTTTCACCGCGACTTTCCTCCTAAAGGTATTTTTCAAGGTCCAACTGTCCCTTGTTGGGTGTTTGGTGGCTCGGTGGTAGACACAGTAGTCTGAGCTTTCCCTCTTCTTTTTACTTGGTAGGGTATCAACTATTGGCAGAACGAGTTCTCCATCAACTACCCATTCCTTGACAAAAGCTTTAACATTCTCAATACTGCAGGGGTAAACTCTTGTCTTCATGACTCTTACTTTTTGGGATGCAGACGTCTCTTCTCACAGGCGACACCCTCTTAGGGAGGTTGCCACTGCAACTCTACTACTACGAGAGTACCAATGACCTTCATGGGCCCTGGGTAGTGGGCCTATGGCACAGAGATATCTGGCCGCCTCAATTAGAGCTGAGAAGGTATGTAGTTCATGGTTTACCAAGAACAACTTATGGTCGCGTAAGGCTCCTTCCACACAAATGCTAACTAAGTGTAAACATGGTAACCTTCTCTTGGACTTGGAAGAACTTGGTATGGAACTTGTTTACCTTCTCTTCCCAACTCTTGATCAAATTAGGAGCTAGGTTTACATACTAGCTGTAAGCCCTTTTAGTAAGCGACTTGGAGAACTCCCACATGCTTAAGGAATGATTGGTGCCATGGATACCAAAGGTTTTGATGAACCACACCACATGCTCCCTTGCATTGCCTTGCTTTCTATCAAACCTCACATTTTGGGTACCGTATATCCGATTGAATATGTGACAACCAAAATCTCGTGCGAGTATGGAGGCTTAATATCTGAGTCTGGTAACGATGATAATTGCTTCTTAATACGTTTTTGCTCGAGCATAGCTTGGACATCGGCTATGGTAACGAAGTGGTTGGGCTCATAAGGGCCAATTTGTACTTGTAGTTGAACTGACAGTAATACCATTGGCTTGAGGAATTGCTGGAGGGTTTGGAGCTTGGATTGGGGCCTAGTTCTCAGAGTATTGGTTTATCATTGGGTTAGGAACTGCTATAAGAGAAAAGACTTGTGTCGTAGGAGCTTGCACTGGTCTGGCTGCCATGCCTAAAATGGCCTCAGTAAAGCTTTGTAAGGTGACCAGAATCTCCCTCTGTGTGTCTTGCAGAGACTGAACTACTTCAATGTTGATGCATGGTCATGGTCTTTGGCAGGTGTTGCTTTGCCGTTGGATGACCTTTCTTGCTGAGGCTATTAATGAACCTCATTGTAATATCCCCAAATTTATTAAACTAAAACATCACTCTTAATTTGCTTAAGCTGATATCTTTCCAAACCAATAATAACAATAATATCAAAAGTCCTCTTTTCCATTGATCAACATATTGTGCTTTATTTTTGTGAGCCGCACATAAAATAAATCACAGTCACATGATACACTTATTGTGCTTTATTTTTGTCAATTTATAAGTTACCTATTTTTCTTTTTTTTAAATTTTTTTTAAATAGTGCAAAAATATTTTAAGAAGCCATATTTTGTTAAAAAAGATTACAAATTTTGGCTTATATTTTTAGCCAACAATTTCACATAGTTTTTTGTAGGATTGTCTAATATAGACGGATCTAAATAGTAAAAATTTTTATTCGAAAACGAAAAAAGTTCACAAAAACAAAAATGAGTTAAAAAAATTAACCAACTTATAAATTCCATCCAAAAGAATGCTAAATCCATATCAATAATTCTAGGAACACTATTCTCTGAACCACCGATAAACCAGCTCATATACTAACATGTAGTGCCGTAACAACTACATGCATCACATGCAGGTATGGGAGAGGGTTATGGTTTTGTTGAAGGTTGATTTTGTGTCTGTAAAATTATTAATTGAACATTGTTTCATCTTCTTGTGCCCTTTGAATGCTATAAATAACATTTTCACACTATTTTGTTTTTGTTGTTACACAGTTGCGGGCACCGAGCACTACAGAAAATCAGGGATTTAACAGCGTTTTATTAAACGTCACATTTTCTAATTTTTAACGGTGTTTTATAACTGCCGCATATTTTTTTTTTAAACCAAAATGGCACCGTTTTCTAATTAAAGGCATTTAAAAACATCTCCAAATACAGTAGATACATGCGTCCCTTTTTGAAACCCTTATTTTTTAATCTGAACCCTTTCTCTCTCTTATACGCACAAATCTCTCTTATCTTATAAGCACACATCTCTCTCTCTCTCTCTCTCTCTCAGTGACGAAGAAGACGGAGGAGATAACTCTAGGAAAAAGCTTTGTCTCTCAAAAGATCAATCGGCTGTTCTTGAAGAGAGCTTCAAAGAACACAAGCTCCATCGGCTGTTCAGAGCAATTTCAAAGTGATTTCAAAGATTCAGATCAATATCAATTGGATGTTCAGAGCGATTTCGAGGTGATTCCGAAGATTCAAATTGATTTCAAGATTCAGAGCGATTTCGAAGCTCATTCGCCACCATCATCTACACCGAAGAGGTAGCGAGCTCCACCGTCTCTCTCTCTAGATCTCTCTCTTTCTCTAGATCTATGAAATCAATGTTTTGAAGGCCTTCTTACTTGATCCTCATTTGCAGAGATTCAGAGAGAGGCATTCTGACTTGATCCTTATTTACTGAAATCAATGTTTTAAGGCGTTCTTATTTGATCCTCAAGCTCCAATGTCTGCGAATAATCTACTTTGTTTTTGAACTTTAATCAGTACTCTCTCTCTCTCTCTCTCTCTCTCTCTCTCTCTCTCTCGCTCTCTCGCTCTCGCTCTATTTCTTTCGAATTTTAATTGCATGTATAACATTTGTATACATCAATATGTGTGTCTGTTGAATTGTTGAATTGCTCAATAAAAATAGATTGTTGAATTGTTGAAAACTGGTCATGGCTAAGTAGATTGGGTGGGAAGATGATATGAAACTAAGTTTCTGATGCCATATAAAGGACTTGCAAAGATCCCCTTTCCTAACTCCATGAATAGATTTGATCTATTAGGTTCTTTTTTGAACTGAAAGAAACTTCTACACTAATTTGTGCAATTCTTTGTGTACTTTGGTTGGAAAGAAATGCAAAGATTGCCTACGATAAGTTTGATAAATTGGGAGAGTAATGGGATAAGGTCTGTTATCTATCTTCATTTTGGGTGTCAGTCTCACCTCTTTTAAGGAGATTCGTTTGTTTTTTATTTGTAGCGTTTGGAGAGTTGTTTGTGATTTGTAATAGATCCCCTTTCCTAACCCCATGAATAGATTTGATCTATTAGGTTCTTTTTTGAACTGAAAGAAACTTCTACACTAATTTGTGCAATTCTTTGTGTACTTTGGTCGGAAAGAAATGCAAAGATTGCCTACGATAAGTTTGATAAATTGGGAGAGTAATGGGATAAGGTCTGTTATCTATCTTCATTTTGGGTGTCAGTCTCACCTCTTTTAAGGAGATTCGTTTGTTTTTTATTTGTAGCGTTTGGAGAGTTGTTTGTGATTTGTAATTTCTTTTCTTTTTCATTTGTATCATTTTGGTGGATCTTTCATTCTTTCCCCTTTAATCGATAAATTTCGTTTATATTTATCCACCCAAAAAAGAAAAAAAAGAGCATTTTGCATGTATAACTTCATTCTTATTCTTTATAACCACTCACTATCAGATTTTTATAAACGTAGAAATTTGTATAGCCTGAAATTTTTCAAAGCTATAGACCAACTATTCTTCCATCACACAATCTCAACTATGACATTTATACTTCTGCTGAATCAGTTAAGGGACCAAAAATAAAAGAGGAATTATCTTTCTGTTGTAGTAAGGACTTCGTATAGGTGGCAGAGGGTTTTGCCTTGTAATAAGGGGCAAGCATCGAAAGTCTTCTAAGGCATGGAACTATCTCTGTATTGACTAAAATGATCACTACTCTTTCCTTTATTTTTTTAGTTGAGGGAGGATTGCAACTTTTGTGAATTTTATAAATGATATGTACATGGAAGTGGACATGTAATGTCCTAGGTTTGGTTTTTTTAGTGAACAGGGTTCACCCCCTTAAGGTGTTTTTCATAGTTTATAACATTTTATTTGCCTATCCAAAAAAAAAAAAAATTAAGTGTCACATAAAATTGCCTTCCAACATGTAGATGTCAATGTGAATTTACATCTCTAAACTCACTTTAACAACTAACACTGTTAAGGGAATAAGGAATAATTTTTTTTAAAAAAAATTGCTTAATGGATATCACAAAGATAACCAAAACATTAGAACACCCATCGAAATGTAACCTACAACAACTATTTTATCTATCAAACCATTACATAATGGTGTTACATAATGTTTGAGGCCAATTTTCATATGTTGGTTACTTCTAGAGATAATGAGTCGTAACATTTGTACTTGATAACTCGGTTTTCACAATATTTGACTCCAAGTGCATATTTAGAAGTGTAGCAAAAATGTTAGTTGAGTTGTGTGAAAAGGCATGGTGCTAATTTGGTGATGGTATCTGTGCCTAGTGGATAAATTTTTTGAGGAATAGTTAGTGGATGAATGCAGCAAGCAACTTAGGCACTAGTCTCTTGAGTTCTATTAGTCGATGAGATTTGTGGATGTATAATAACAATGGTCCTTTTTAGACTGATTTTCTTTCAAAAACGGTGCCCAGAGAATAATGTATAAACCATGCTCTGCAAGACACAACACATGATTGATTTTTGAGTTGAGGAAGTTTCACAATGTTTTAGTCAATGAGAGGCTTAGGCTCAACTACTATTTTTTTTGGCATGCCTGTTACCTTGATTGTGTAGTTAACATTTCATTTGAGATAGTACATTAGAAAACCAATTCATGAATCAAGTAAGAAAGGATTTATAAAGGGACCCTAAAATATTAGCTCGTATATGAGTATGGAATGAAAATAGATTTGTTTTGCGGCATTTGATGCTCAATGTGATAATGAAAGAATTTGTCAACAAAATTCAGTTTTACCACTATTGATAGTTCAAAATGGGAAAGTAGTTTATTAACTAAATTCTTATGCATATTTCATTCTTTGTAGCATGTAATATAATGTTTTGTGATCATATCCATTCTTCTAATTTTGATTAGATGAAAGCAATCATATACACAATTCTAATTTTTCATTAAATTGTATTTTTAAAATGATGATAAAAATGTTTTTATGGTATTTTTTAAATATTGCAGCATAATGAGTTAGTTATCTTATCTAAAAACTTAAAAGTAGTTCAATGAAATTACATTTGAAAAAATTTGTAACTATTGTTTGGCAACTGCTATTTGAGCTACAATATTTTGTGCAATTAAGTGCCCATCAACACCTGTGCATGTTAATGCTATTGAATCAGATAAATACCACTGTGTTGGCATTTTTCCTCTGATGGGACTATAATTGGCTACCATCATATTCCTATTCTTTAATCACTTTAGAAATTGTTTGAAATTCTCTACCCCTTCAGCTATCCATATGTTCTGAAGGTAGGTTCATTACTGAATTGCTTGATTTTCTATCTCTTTCATTTTTCTTGGAGAGGGGGAGGGGAGGGAGCTATTGCAGCATTTTCTCTGAGTTCCATAATTCTTGTTATTTAATTGTGCAATTCGTTTTTCCACATGTTAGTTTGTGACTTGCAACTGCAAATGAGTTGACTGATTAGCTTTTTATTGACTTTTTAGGTTCATTCAGAAGGGAAATACGTTATTGATATCGATAAGAACATATATGTAACAAAGCTCACACCATCAACTAGAGTTGCCCTTTGTAATGACAGCTATGTGCTTCACTTGGTATTGCCTAGTAAAGTAGATCCTTTGGTAAACCTAATGAAAGTTGAAAAGATTCTAGATTCTACATATGACATGATTGGTGGTCTTGACCAACAAATCAAAGAGATAAAGGAGGTTAGTCTTCTTTGAGGTTGTTTTTATTGGTTTCATGGCTAAATATATATATATATATATATGTAATTTTTGTTTTGGTAGAAAAAATAGATGTTAAAATGTCAAATTTTAGGGAATGAAAAGCTTAACTTTTTTATTTTTGTTTTTAAAATCCATCAATCATTACATTTCCACTATCTTTGTAATGATTCTCAGTTTATTCAACTAGTCTTGAATCATGACTGGGTAGTTTAATGCAGGAAATAACAGTTAATTTTCTTTCAATAAATAGGGAGTTTTGCTGTATGGGCCACCTGGTACAGGGAAAATACTGTTAGCTAGAGCAGTGGTTCATCATACTGATTGCACCTTTATAAGGGTTTCTGGCTCTGAGTTGGTTTAGAAGTCATGTTACACGAACTCAGGTACGGGTATTGGGTGCGGATGCGTATCTAGGGATCCGACACTTCAAAACTAAAGATTGAGAATATGTGGATATGTATCCAAATTTGGATACGGGTACGGAGATACGTTAAATAGATTTTTTTTAAAGAAAATATATTTATTATATGAATATGAGTTATATTATATAAATAACAAATAAAAATTATAAAAATTATTTTAGATATAAAATAAATTATATTATATATGATAAAATAAGTTATTTTTATTTTTGACATAAAAATTATATTATTTATGATATATTATATTATATAATTTTTTTTAAGATGAATAATATTATATATTATTATATTAATGTAATTTATACTATATGTTAATGTAAATGTAATATGAATAATGGATGAATAATATTATATATCATTATATTAATGTAGTTTATATTATATACTAACATAAATGTAATTAAATAGGTGAGACAATAGAACGGAGAGAAGAGAATAAAGAAAAAGAGAGAAGTCAGACATACAGAAGAAGAGAGAGAGAGAGAGAGAGGAGAGGAGAGGAGAGGAGAAGAGAGAAAGAGTGAGATCGAGATCGAGAGATGAGAGGAGAGGAAGAGAGATCGAGAGACGAGAGAGAAGACAGAGAAGGAGATTGATCGTGCATCGAGCATCGAGCAAAAGTCGAAGCTGTTGAAGCAACGACCAGAGGGATCGAAGTCAACGACCGATGTCTTCATCGTTTCGAAAGGCGACTAGGTTCTCTCTTCCTCTTTCCTCTTTCATTTATTTTTCTGTCTGTAAAGAGACATGTCTAAGAGAGAAGAGGCGAATCCGACACAGATCCCACACCCTCACCCGTGTCGTGTCGACACGGGTACTTCGCCCCAAAGTGCCAAGTCCATGTAACGTAGTTCAGAAGTGTATTGGTGAGGTCTCTCGAATGGTTAGAGAACTTTTTGTTACAACCAGGTTTGTCCGACTTCATTGATAACATTGTTATTGCCAAAAAATTATAATATCTTGTACATCAGGTTAATAAATCTTTTTAGTCTATAGAAGTGTTATATAGTTCCTCTTATATGTTTTATGTGTGATTTATTTTTGTTTGTGTTTCAGAGGGGCATGCTCCATCAATCATCTTTATGGATGAAATCGACAGCATTGGATCTGCTCGAATGGAATCTGGATCTGGTAATGGTGATAATGAAGTGCAGTGGACAATGCTAGAGCTTCTCAATCAACTGGATAGATTTGAAGCATCCAAACAAAATCAAAGTACTGATTTCTTGTTTCATTGTCTATGTTGGTGAAATTGTTGGTGTACTGATTTTATTAAAATTAGAAACTTGTCTCTATATACAAAATTACAATAATTTGATAACAAGATAACTCTTTTTCACAAGTTTTAAAGGCTACAAATCGCATCGACATTCTGGATTAAGCACTTCTGAGGCCTGGAAGGATTGACAGGAAGATAGAGTTCCAAATCCCAATGAAGAGGTATATTTTATTCATCATACTTCGTATCTATATCGTTATGCAATAAAATTTAATTTTTGGCCTTGGCTGATAGTATTTTGTCTTCCAACAATTCCATTTTGGGCCATTGGTTATCATTAAGGATTTTGTGTGTTAGGTTCTTTCTGGTTTTCTTGTAACACTCTAGGGGATCTTGACTCAAATTTGAAAGCTATTTCCAGTCTAATCTACTATTGAAAAGGGTTTGTATTTTTGTAATTTTTCTGCAAATTCATCCTCCAGGTTTTCCCTTGGATATTTTTGTGTCATGAAGTCTTCACATTAGATGTGGAGATTTAGGATGCTTGTACTCCAGTAGCAGTGATAATCCATCGGATGGCTCTTAGATGTGGACATTTTCTCAACTCTTTATCAAATTTCTACTTAAATTTATGATTCAAATACAAAATAAGAGTAGTATAATATATTTTTATAATTATTAATTGAGTTATCAACCACTTCTAAGTTTGTAAGTACACTTTTTTTGGAACTTTTAGATAATTGACTTTGTAACTTCATGACATGCACAAAGGGTATCTTGCCTTCGTTATTGGAATTGGAATTGATTGTGGCTTGATGTGGTTTTATCATTTGTGTTGCATCTTTTGAACTTATGTATTTCACACATCAATTGTTTATTGAAGTGGCATTATGACATGGAAAAGAAAAAGAAAAATTAGTGTGCTTTCTGGTATTGTAAAACTTTCATTTATTACTAATACAAATGATTGGACCTTTTGGGATGGTTTTTCAAAAATAATTTGGTTGAATGATATTCTTGTCAGTGGTATTACATGCTCCTAAGTCACATGTAGATGTGCGAAGTATGTTATCTGTTAGGTTTTATTCTTGGCAACCCCGTTTGACAAAACTCCTTTTCAATTGTATTTATTTTCGCACTTTTATTTCAGTGAGACTATGAGTGTTTAGATGCGAATCCAACTCGAATTGTGCCTTTCAGAGAAGTTTGTGATGCTAATGCTTTCAAGATTGCCACTTCACTGATTATGACGGGGATCGAGCTGCCCGGTCAGCTCGCGGGGGTCGAGGGGGCAGCGCCACGGCAGGGTTGAGGGGCAACCCCCCCGAAGCAAAATGCAAAAATGCATTCAAAATTACCTGTCCGCTCGAGCGGACATTCCCGCGCTCGAGCGGAGAATGCTAGGTTTCAGAAGTTTGTCAGGCCTGTAAAAATACTAGATGGTGTGATTTCGCGCTCGAGTGGGTTCTCTAGCGCTCGAGCGGACCTCTGTTTTGTCAGATGCATATTTTGCTGAAGCCGCTCGAGCGGAGATCGCGGGACAGATTCTATAAATTCGCATGTTGGGTCAGATTTTAGGATTACTACTCCAGATCTTCTTTTTGGGTTATTATCAAATGTTATTATTTTTCTTTCATTTTGTTGTATTCAAAATTGTGAAAGAGCTAATTTTGTGGATTCAAAACTTTGGCTATATCTTGAGTTGGGGATAATTTTCTTGGTAGTAATTTGCCATCTCCTGTATAGTTGAACCCATCATTATAGCTCAACACTTCTTTCTCTGCTAATGTCTTGGCTAGAACATGATTTTTGGATATGTTATTTTGTGATTAATGGTGATTGGATATTAAATTGAATGAAAAACTGAATTAATGTTGCATTTTGAATGAGAGTTATTATTTCATATTAGTGCTATTTTTCAGTTTTATTACAGGGATTTTTTTAGCTCAATCATATAAAATTAGCACAATCAAAAAAAAAAAAAAGATATCATAGCGTTTTTAAAAACTTCGCTAAATATCATACCAACAGTTAGATTTTTTTTTTTTTTTGAAAAAAGAGATACGAAGGCGTTTTAAAAACGTCACTAAATAGCATAGTGATGTCATGTTACTGTTAGTAAAACACTGCCTATAGTAATATAGCGACGTTTCTAAAGCGCTATAAAGTTATAGCGACGGCCGCATCTTCGGTGTTTGGTGCTAAATGTCACAAAAGGATTTGACGGCATTTTTGGGATCTATAGCCGCATTTTTTAAACGCTTCTAAATCCTTCATTTCAAGCAGTGGAGGCGACATTGCTGTCATGTTTTTCCTTCTTCAGGTGGGAAAGTAATGGAAATTTCCATTAGAGAATGCAAAGAAGAAGAATTGGTTTACATGCGTTCATAGTGTGTACCTATGACAGAGTAAAGCTATCACTAGCGAAGCCTTCATGACCGTTTGATCTAACTAAATTACATTGCCATTGCAAAAGAGATGGATCTAATGGGAAAAATGGTAGGTGCCTCAGTGAGACATAAACAATCACACAACTCTATTCCGCACACATTTTCATGTAAACAGTGACAAACTCAAGCCCATCATGTTTGAGAGGATCAATTATGCCCTATTGCGTACGGCATATTTACACAAGATTCAGACAATATGAGACCCATACCAATAGATGGTCTGAATTCTGTACAAAAGTTGTATTGGGATCATGAATTTGAGTAGAGATTTGAAAAAGGAAAAAGAAAAAGTGAGGGAAATCTGGATGAAATATACAATTAGCTTGTAAAGAACTTTAACTAATCTTGTGCATATTGGGAACACATGAATTATTCAATGTCACTATCGGTTGTGAAGGAAAATGAATGGAAACTATAACAAAAAATTGACTTCTAAAATTGATGAATGTTGTAGTTTGAAAATAGGTGTTGTCGTTAACATTGTGATGGGTCGTGTCAGGTCATCTTATAATTGTGCTTTTAAGAAAAGATTTTGATTTGATCATTTTAGAAAACATGTGATTTGATTTTGAAATATGTGCCTTTTATTAGGAAGATGACTCCAAAAGGTCAAAATGAACTGGGATTGGATGTCGGGAGTTTGATTACAAGTATGTAGACTGCAATTTCCTTGTCTTCTTATTTGTGAAAGAAAGGTTATTATATGTTACAAGAATACTTCACTCAAATTCTTCTCATCTTATTTGATTTTTTTGAACGGCGTGATAGGCTTCATGATTTTCAAATATGATGAATTTTACACATGTATGGCGTTCATTGACTAGATAAATATATGAGATAAAATTAAATCTAGTGAAAAATTAAATAAAGCATATCCTTCAATTTCTTGTGCTAGAACTTTGGCTTGCCAACACAACACAAAAGTATTGATACTACTAAAAACCTCATTTTTATTTATATTTATTTATTTATTATTTTTTTTTTGCGATGGCAAGGTGTCGTGGCCTATAATCCGTAATTATTGCAAACTAGCACTATAAAAATTTCAGTTTTTTGTGACAGCAAAATGCCATCGCTAATACTCCTAATGCCGTCTCAGAAAATTTTTAGCGACAACAAAAGAGAGGTCACAGCAGAGGGCGTTGCTAAAATGTTTTAGCGATGGCATGACGCCGTCACCTTTTTTTTGGGGCGGCAAATGTTGCCTTTTGCGATGGCATTTTACTATTGCATATAATATGTAAAAAATTGAGATCTTTCGCAACGGCAA